ATGCATGTGGTAGGAAATGCTACAGTAGAACAGGTCAATGGTATGTTCAGTCTAGTGTTCTCTCTCCAGCAATGAACAATGTCGGATGAGAAATATGAAGGTGTAAACTACCCAGAATGCATCTAACTGTACAGCCAGTTGACTAATTTGTACAGTGCTTTGACGGTGTCAGGTGCTACATAAGTGCTGAGTATTGTAACAAGACTAAACTCTGTTGAGAAAACTCTTCCTGACTCCGGCTGGATTTCTGGAGCTGGAAGATGGGAAAAACCCCACCTAGTGGAACTCCAGATGCTATTCTTATTTTGAGTTTATGGGAAAGAGAAACTGTTGATGGTTCTAAGGAGACAGATGGATCATTGCAACCTCTGTCCTGCAGCATACTGGAAAATGGATCACTGTAACCAGAGTGAGGGGTGTGCATGATGATTGCCTCCCTATAGCATGCTAAAAAAGAGTACATTCTAGAACTTAAAGCTCAGCATGATCATTATCTCCTCTGCCCACTGATTTTTGTATCTCAAAGTGCAATCTAAGGTTGGTCACTGTCACCTTTTCCTGTGCAGAAGGAGCTGAGCATCTGAGTATTCTTGATCAACCTCGTGTTAATTGAGGCAGAGCAAAACCATAAGAAGCTGCAGCATTTCTGACCAGCCTTTCACATACCACCGCAGCGAAAGGCGTTCTGCAGCCCAGAAGTGCCTGCTGCTAGAGTTTAGTTAATCTGTTATCGCCTGTTAGTACTGTGATATGGCTGCCCTTTATCTCTGTTAGCAAAGTCGGTTTCTTTACACTTTATATAAACTCTGTGGTTTAAGGGCCTTGACTAAAGACTGAGATTCATAAAATAATTTGCATCTTTATAATGGTCACTTCCAAGTAGAATTTGGCTACTGCTCACAGGTGCTGCTGAATTGTAACTGTACCGTTCTAAGGGCCCCATGACCTATGGGAATGTCACTTGTCTGTACGCGTCAGGGAACGGCCTTACTGAACAACGTTGTACACACCTGAGAAGCAGCGTATTGCTAATATACACACTCTGCAACTTGATAGCACCTGGCTAATCAGCTCTTTCATTTTGGGCCTAACCTGCCCCCTTGCTCAGCACCTTACTTCAAGAGTGGTCACATTCATTTCAGTGGGGTGGCTTGTGGAGTCAGCATGAGTAAAGCTGGCAGAACTGGGCACTGAGCTTGTTCCTGGTGGAATAGATGGGCCAGATATCTCCCCAGCTTCCTCACCCAATTGTGTCTCTGTTCTTTTTCCTCCGCTTCTGAAACACCATGACCTGTCTTTTTATTAGCAGCAGCATTTCTGAAGCCCAGTCTACACACGGTCACACCGGTTGAACTGAAGGTGTGGTTTTAAATTGGTTCAAACTCCTGTGTGGACACTCTTATTTCTGTTGATCTAAAGTCAGTCAGGAATTGGTTTAAGCTGAACCAAATCAGTATGCTCTGAAACAAAATAAGTGCCCACACAGGGATTTGTGCTGCTTTAACTATATCGGTTTAAAATCATACCTTTACTATGGCTAGGTCTACACTACCCGCCTGAATCGGCGGGTAGAAATCGATCTCTCGGGGATCGAATTATCGCGTCTCGTCGGGACGCGACAATCAATCCCCGAATCGACGTGCTTACTCCACCAGCGGAGGTAGGAGTAAGCGCCGTCGACGGGGAGCCGCGGAGGTCGATTTTGCCGCCGTCCTCACAGCGGGGTAAGTCGGCTCCGATACACCGAATTCAGCTACGCTATTCGCATAGCTGAATTTGCGTATCTTAAATCGACCCCCCCCGTAGTGAAGACCTGCCCTTAAACTGGAACAGCTTCCCTGTGTCAGCAGAGCCTGGGAAAGCCAGTGCTGTCCTACTGCTTTGGCCTGGGTCCAGTGTTTGTATTTGACAGTGCTCTGGTATGATATGCATTGTCATGTGTCTAGAGGCAATGGCTTAATATATTAATAATTAACATTGATTCCAAATCTATTTCACAGTATCCTTTATTCTGTCTGGGCCAAATGGCTAATCTGATTCTAATGACATCCAAAGGTCTTCATAATTTTCTGTGTGTTGCCTTCTCTCTCTCTCTCACCTGTGATGGCAAGACAGAGTACCCACACTCTGCCCTCCAGCCTTTGGTCTCCTCAGAGTAAGACTGCTCAAAATTCCCCTAAGTCAATAGGAGTTTACTAGGAGGTGACCTTTGTCAAAACAGCCCCCTGGCTCTGCTGGGTGCTGCTTCCAGGCCAGTCAAGCCTCCCTGGTCACTTCCCACCCTGCTTCCGAATGTGATACATGGCTCCAAACGCTGATGCTGAAAATATGAGCAGATGACAGCAGACATTTTATTCTCTGTCCCATCTGCCTGTTTAACTACTGGACAATACGTTTCTACAGGGGGCCCCAGGAGACCACCCATCGCAATTTTTAAGGTAAAAAAATCATATTTTCTCCTTATCTGCAGAAGACCTTTATTTGTGCTGCCTGTTTTGGAGGCGCTTACAAGGGCTGCCTTTCACACTCCTGCTAGCTCACAACCAAACTCCACCTGTGGTATATTTGTAACTAGTCCTTCTACGTGATATAGGTCACCTCCCATTCTATCCACCAAGAGTCACAATAATTAAGAGGCTTCTTGCCCAAGGCATTTCTGAGATATGGTGCCTTTCCAGCTACCTACGTACAGCACCTGATTCTCCACTGCTCTGCACTTTGTGTTGGGACATGGACCAGTGCAAAGTGGGTCAGAGTGTTAGTGTTTTGTGCTGACTGTGCATACGTGTAAATGACAACAGTGTGCAAGACAGTGGAGAATCAGTCCCATAGTCCACGTCTGTAGTGAGCTCCACCTTAAAGGGCCTGATTTTCCATTGCCCCAGTCGTTAACATCCTGCAAATTGAGTGTGAAGCGCTGCCACTCTAGAATGGTGGGGTTTTGCACCCCCTTCGTCCTTATTGTAAATGACGATGTTGCAAGGTGACCAAGAGCCAGGTCCCAAATCTTCCTCCCTTGCACTAACACCAGTTGGGGGTGCTAGTAGAGACCAGTCACCAGGTTCTAACCATCATGCTGTCAAACCTGGTGTCTTGTTCTTCTCTCGCTGACTTTCTCAGGTGTCTGTCTCTGTGGTATCTGAGCTCTTGGCCAGCAGGGAGGGAAGTTCTTTCTCCGTAGGGCCGAATCTTCCCAGATTCTTATTGTTCTGATCGAAAAACTCTCAACTTCTCCAAAGGGACAGTTTGTTCCTGCTCAAACTGCAGCTGTTGAAGTCTCCTTGTTCAGCCAGGCTCTGTCCCTTTGCAGAACAGTGTTCCTGTAGGACACGTGAATCCCTGAGGCTAGGTGGCAGATGCTGGGCCCTGAGTAACAAGGGTAGTGTTGGAAGGTGTTTGCAGCTTGTGTACATTTAGTGACACGTTTTTACCCAGAGAGGACTGACCATTGCTGACTCTGCATCCCCACTATACATACTTTCTGCAGGAGTTGCAGTTTGTTTTCCATTCCTTGGCGGGTGTGCGTGCGTGCGTGCATGCTCTCTCTCACTTTGATTCCAGGCTTTGCAGTTCTCAGGGGCTGAGTGACTTGGGCTTTTCCTGCCATAAAGCACTCATGGCTGTTCACCTGTTTGTAATTATTTTTTTTGGTTTGTTTTGGCCAAGGGCTGCTGGCTTTTGAGTTTGCTGTCTCCTAGATGCCTCTGGAGTGGAATGGGGGTCGGGTCCTAGGCCTCCCTGCATCACCAACTGCTGCTCTGTTGTGAGGGATGATGTCTTGCTCCGTCCTGGGGCCGTTGTTTCCCTTGGGCCTGCTGCTGCTCTGTGACCATCCAGGTGGCCCTTGTGCTGTGACAAGGCGGGGAACAGTGAAGTGTTCTGAGTCTTCTTGTGATAGTGCTGTTGGGCTAGCGAGCTATTGAGTAGCTTGTAGTGATTGAGTCCATCTGTAGTTCCTGGAAGCTCCCTGCTCTCCCAACTCCTGCAGTTCCCCAGCTGAGCTATTTTGGTCACTCTCGTCTGTTTTATTTACCCAGCTTCTGAATGTGTCCAGAATCGTAGTGCTGGGTGTCTTTGTCTCGCCGTGACCTTGAATTCCTCAGTCTGGTGGTCTGTCTGCTAGTAGCAGAAACATGCAAAGGTGGGGTGGGGTTTGGCTTTGTCCCGTCCCTAGCAGAAGCATCAGGATGTTTGGATAACAGTTTGAATACAATCCAAGGCCTCAATCCTGCAGCTGACCATGCCGCTGAAACCCTGCTGGGAGCTCCATTGAATCCAACCGCGTTCTGTGCGGGTGTGGGAGCCTGCCAGGATTGAGGCCTAAATCTTCTACTCCCTACTTCAACCATCCTGCAGTGAGAAGCTCAGTCTCTAGACCAGGGGCGGCTCTGTTTTTTGCCACCCCAAGTACGGCAATCAGGCGGCCTTCGGAGGTAGTGGGTCACGCGGATTCGACAGCGTTTCTGCGGGTGATCTGCCGGTCCCACATTGCCGCCGAAGGTTGCCTGACTGCCGCCCTCACGGCGACCGGCACGCCGCCCCCCGCGGCTTGCCGCCCAAGGCACACGCTTGCTGCGCTGGTGCCTGGAGCCGCCCCTGCTCTAGACCAAGCTAAATACCCGGTATCTGTTGTTCAATTTCATGATGTTTGGGCTGTGAAATGATGCGCAACCTCAAGGAGGTGGAATTTGCACAAATGTTTCCATTTATGTGCAGCAGGACCAATCTGCTAATGGCCAGTTAAATGTGAAAGTGGAACAGAATGTCTGTGTGTCAAATGTGACCCAATCCAACCATCTTCTTCCTCACACTCGGCTGCTTTAGCCTGCATGCCCAAACCTGGTGACTGAGCTGTCACCCCAGCTCTAGACGGGGAAAGGGACAGTGAGGTGTGTGTGAATATGAAGTCAGCCTAGAACAGGGAAAGAACACTTCATCGCCATGGCTTAGGGTAGGGCTGGGAGTGCCCTGGCTTCACCGCAGGCATTTGTGTTTTCTAGGGTGATGCTACAAGAAGCCCGGGATGCCTTATGTGGATCGACAGAATCGTATCTGTGGGTTTCTAGACATCGAAGAAAATGAGACCTGCGGCAAGTTTCTGCGAAGATATTTCATCTTGGACACCCAGGCCAATTGTCTTCTGTGGTATATGGACAACCCCCAGGTGAGGTCCCAGAATGCACTCTGTGGAGCATTGCAGATCTGTATGGCTTTCATACTTCACAGCTAAAAGAGCTTCTGCTTCCTGATTTGTGCTGCATCTGCCCCTCCCACTCTTAAGATGCATTTGTTACAAGAGTTCAGTGCTGGGGTTTCACAGCTAGAGCTGGCTTTTGATCATGCGTATCTTTTTTTCCAGTTACCTTGGACACCTTAGCAGTGCTGCTTGTGTTCGGACTCTAATGATTGGAGTAAACAGGCTTTATTTAGACAGATATGCTATTGAAATCCCAGAAACAGAGATCACATTTTTTAATTGGCTTCACATTTTTCTCTCCCCCTATTTTTATTACACCAGCTTCGCTCACTAGTTAAGACGAGCAGAAACAGCAACTTCAGTGCTGGAAAAAGTTGGTTTCCTTGTGCCTGGAACCCTGTCCTTCTTAGCAATCTGGAATGATTTATTTCCCGTTCTGATGTTAAAACTGCCATGTAACAGTCTACCAGGATCCTAGAGAGACAAGGTGGGTGAGGTAATATCTTTTATTGGAACAACTTCTGTTGGTGAGAGAGACAAGCTTTCAAGCTATACAGTTCTTCAGCTCTGTGTAACTCTTGTCTCTTTCACCAAGAGAAGTGAGTCCAGTAAAAGACACTGCCTCACCCACCTTGTGTCTCTAGGATCCTGGGACCAGCGTGGCTACAACAACACTGCAAATATCAGGATCTTGGCGAGGTGAAATCCTCTCTGCAGTTCAATCATTGGGTTGTTTTGGCACAAAACATCCCATCATTAATCTTGCAGGTATCATAATGGAAAGTCGCCATTTGGATGTCCATTTGTGTCAGATTGTCTGATGCCTGTTTCTGGGGAAGCTGTGTCCCGTAACGTTATCTCGCACCACTAATTTTCCTTGATGCTTTAAGTTGCATAGAAGAGATGCCTTTATCGGATGGAGAGAGTGTCTAAGGAAGGATCTGGTGGTAGGGATAGCAGATTCTATTGTGCTTTTTTCATATTTTATCTTGCCACAACATGAGGTGAATATATTGTACCGTGCTCAGTAAGAAATACAGAGGGTGGTCTCTCTCTTTTTTTCTTTTTTTTTTTTAAGACTGGTGCTCACTCATATCCTTTTCCTGCTCTGAGGTTGAATTTCCCACTTCTGGGGCCTGATCCAAAGCCCGTTGAAATCTGTGGAAAGATTCTCATTGGCTTCAGAGTGTTGGATCAGGCCTCTGTTGGGAAGCTGGTGCTGGGTCACTTCATTGAAGCAGCATTCAGCCTGAGTGCAGCTGGAAGCAGTCCTTCATTTCCAAGTGGGATGGGTCACTGTCTGGGCCATGCTTTCTTGCTGAGGGAAGCTGGAATGTGACTGGATGGTATCTGTTATCAGTACGTATGAGCGTGTGTCAGAAATGTTCCTGAATTCCCCCTCCACACCCTTTTAGACTTTGAATCCAAGACAAATAAAACGAGAATGTCTTCTGGTCTCAGCCAGTGACCCGTTCGGCTCCATGGTGGTGAACCAGCCGCAGGTCCAAAGCTGGGGGTGGAATGTGGGGTAGCAGTTTCTTTTCAAGGTTGGCTCTGACCCATAGCGGTGCAGTGATTGGTCACTCTCCCAGATGTTACTCCTAGGGCAGTTCATAGCTGTGGTTAGAATGCAGAGCTATTCTGATGAGTCAGTATCAGCCAGCAATGCCTGCTGCTTGCTGTATCGAATGGGGGCGGGGTGTGGGGAGCAGTTGTTATCTTCCTCTTTCTCATTTTGCTAAATAGTATAATCTGCATAATGTTTTGTATGAGCTGCATCTACTTTCAGGCCCCAATCCAGCAGAGCACTTAAGCACACGCCTCGAGTCCCTCTAACTTCAATGAGACGTGTGTGCTCAAAGTTAAGCCCCTGCTTAAGTGTTTTGCTGAATAGGAGTGGGCTTAAGCACATACGTAAAGTTAAGCATCTGCTTTGCTGAACTGGGGCTTCAGAAATGAAATGATGCAGGATGCTTTCTGCCATGTATGTCGTTAGACTTTCCTATGGCTGAGTCTTTGCAAGAGGAAACTGCAACAAATCAGTTTCTCTGTGTATACTATGTTCTCTTACACCACACCAATGATATTTTATACAATTTAACCCCTGAAGAGATGATAAAGCACTATGTCAGTGTGAGACATTATTAGGTCCCCATTCCAGTTCATATCTCGGTGTAAAGACAGTAACACAAATGATTAAAATATCTGTCATCCTAGAAATGGGGTCATGCAGAATATGCTCACCCAGTAGCCAGGTGTCTGGAGTTTTGTATCTGTTGTGGCTGGCAGCTCCGGGAGTGGTCGTGGCATTTACTATAGTGATTAAAATAGTAAGAATAAAAGGTGAGCTGTAGGAATTTCTTCTGTGTGCACTAGCATAAGTCACCATCTGGACTAGCATTCATTGCGTGGCTTTTGTAAACGCAGCTCAGAGCAAATTTTATTTTATTTTCATTTATAATCTATGCCCAGTGCCATGATCTCTGGCCTCTTGACTAATGTTAAAGAACAGAACAACTTTCCCCATGCAATAAACTACACACCAACTAGTGCACCCTTTACTGCCTTGCTGAGGCATAGTGATGGGTGTCTCAGCATGGTAAAATGCTGACGTATAGAGACCATTGGTGAGGACAGAACTATTAAGGTGCCCCTCCCTAAACAAAGTGTAAAGTGATAGTCTAGCTCACCTGGTTTGTGACTGTTTATCGTTTAACTCTTAACATTCTTGACTGTTTTGCAGAATCTGGCTCTCGGGTCAGGAGCTGTCGGATCTTTGCAGCTGACCTATATATCCAAGGTAATACGAGGGTGGTGTCTCAGAACTGTTCTGCTGTGGGAGGAGGTGAAATAGACCTAGAAATAAGCTAATGGCCTGCCCAGTACAGCAATTTGTAGGAGTCCAGAGTTATCTGCTCTATACTACTGCTGGGTAGAACTGGTGAGGATATTGTTCTTCAAAATGTTTGTCAACCAAAAATGTCCTTTTTGTTGAAATCAAAACATTCTGAAAAACCTATAGATTTTGATGAAATTTTGTTTAGAAAAAACCCAGAACTAAACATTGCAATAATGTCAGAATCTCCCTTCTTGGCATTTTGGGGAATAGAACATTTCAGGGTTTTTTTTTTTTTTTTTTTTTTTGATTTTGAAACTTTTCAAAATTAAACTCATTGTTGTTTTTTTTAATAGTATTAAAAAAGTCGACGTTTTAAAAAGTTGGAAATCGGAACAAAATGACTGAAATGAATTATTTTTTTCAGAAATTTGTTTCCTGGGAAATGTTGGATTTTTTTTTTTTTTTTTTTGAAAATTTGAAGTTGTGGAATTGCCCGCCAAATGGATGCTCTGATTCCTGCCAGCTCTACTGTGACAGGTCTCTCAGTGTAGCAAAGAGGTCTGCATTTCCTTTGTACAATGACATCACATAGGCCAGCAGGGTTGCTAGGCAGAAAGGAGGATATTTCAATAATGAGGAAGAATGCAAAGCCACAGAACCCGGAAGCTTTTAGTAAGGGCAACCAGTACGCAGTCCAGATCGGGCCTTATGCCCCAGCCATGAGCTATTTGCAGATGAAACTTCCCGGCTGGAAGACAGCTTTTTAAATCTGTTTCATTGCTCAGAGTGCCAGTCTTGTTCAGCGTCCGACTGAACCTGGTTCACGTGCATAACGATGTGTTTTATCAACTTTGTAATCAGTTTAAGTAAATAATAATCAGCAACAAGGTGTCATGTAAACATCGCCCACTGCGCAACACGGCTCTCGCTGAGACTCGGGAGTTGTGTTGTGGTTCTTTAATGTGCAGTAAGGAGTGCCTAGAGGGCCCCAGATGAGGTCAGGCCCCATTGTGCTGGATGCCCACAGCTAGTGAGAGACAGTCCTGGTCCCAAAGAGCTTCAGTAGAGGGTGCCTTTTTTCCTACACATCTCTCCTGTGACGTTTCCGTGGGGACTTGAATGAGCTGCTGATTCAAAGCCGTGCCCAACTGAGTGGGAATCTCCTGGGTAAACATGGGTCTGTCTGTGTTTGGTGCTAGGGGAGTGGTACCAGCTCCCGCCCTCTCATTGAGCTAGCGCAGTGAAGCTAGGATAGCGTGGGCAGTGGTGGCCCGGGCTACTAGCTGTGCTGAGAATGTACCCACCGGGTTCTGGTGGGTTTGTCCTTGGCACTAGCCCATGCTGCCACTTGCTGCGACTCGTGTCGCCAGTTCTGGCTGGACGAATTCCTGGAGGTTTCATCACATGACATATAATCTTTAATTAAAGATTATATCTTTAATTCCTGGAGACTCCAGAACAATCCTGGAGGGTTGGCAGCCCTCGCTGCTTCCCTGGATACGCTGCTGTTTTTAGTGGGCTAGCTTGAGAGCTAACGCCCGTCCGTCTGCGTGAGCTGGGAATCGCACCCCCAGCACCGATGTAGACGTAGCCTCGGGTCTGTCTGTGCTTCAAACGGGAGCCATCAATTCCAGCTCCAGGACACCTACCTGCAGCAGCGCCGGTTGAGCTGGTGCACTAACTATAACTGTGTAGCCCCGGGACAGGCTGGCCATCCCCTGTATGTTCCTGTGGTCTCAGATGGGCTTTTCCCCGGGGAAGCTGGCCCCTCCCACTGCTTGCATCACAGCAGCTAGACTTCGGTTTTTAGCCCATTAACTTGATTAAAGCTAGCGTGGGTGTGTCTCCTCCAGGTGGAATTGACACCTCCCTTAGAGGGCAGGGTCTCCAAGTGCAGAGTCCGTAGGCTGCTCCTCTTCCTGTGGGGCTGGCTGCAGGGTTGTTGTTTCAAGGCCTGATATCTCCGCTTCTTTGCCCCCTGGGAGTCCTTTGCCCCATATCGACTCCACCCTGGAGGTTTGGTAGTGCTGCACACCCATTCTGCACGGGTGTAACTGACTGTCCAGAGAGCAAGGGGGTAGAGACTCAGATCCCCCATGTCTGTCTTCAGTGTCTGTTCCCTTCAGTTGTATTCACCCGCCTCTAGGACGTAAGGTTGTGGGTTCAAGTCCTCATGCCAGAACTTTGGCTCACGCCCAGTGCTGTCCCTGCTGTGCAGTGCCAGGAGCAGTCACTGTCCAACCAAGGTCCCTTCTGCTAATTTCCATGGGCTGCCAAATGAATGTTAAATATACTAGGGGACTTTTAGAAAAGAGTGGAGGGGAACTGTAGTATCCTGGCCAGTATCCCCACTCCCCACCTTAATATAGCAGGTACTAGTGTCCAAGGGTGGGTGTGAACTAGTGCTGAGCACAAGGTGGTCACTGTGTTTGCCAGCAGGCAGCCCTGGTTCGGAAACATTGAGACTCTCTTCCCAGAGGAAGACTGCCTTGTGGTTAAGACACTAGCTGAGGTGTGGGAGTCCTGGGTTCAAATCCTACCTCTGCCCTGGTCCAGATTCTTTGTTGCCTTGGGTGAGTCACTTAGTCTTTCTGTGCATCTTTTCTTACAACTTCATTAGTGCTTGTGCAGTGCTCGTGTGGTACAGGGCCAAGGCAGATTAGCTGGAACAGCATCCACCAGAAAGACTGTAAGGTGGGCCGTGTAGGTGAAAACAGCACAGGGAACAATAAACGGTAGGAAATGTTGCTTGCTTAAATCCCTTGACAGAGAGTCATGTGGCTAATATCATGGCTCTGTTGACCAGGCAAGTTGGGATTGTATGTAACACCTTTATTTGCTTGGAAGTTCGACCGTCTGGATCTTGGGGTGGGGTGGGATATGAATTGACAGCCCTGGAATCAGCTTTGGTTACTGTAGTTGGAAAAAGACCCAGCAGATCTCTGCTCCTGCTGATTCATGATTTATAAATTAAACTCAGATGAAGCAATGCTGAGGGATGCAGTCTTCCCCATTTCAGAAGGAACTTCACTTATAAATTATATATATTTTAGACTAAATGAAAATTGCTACAGCGCTCGATTCACTCGTAAACTGCAGGGTTGGGTTATACCAATGGTTTTAACTACCAATTATAAACATGCCAGAGAAATGGAGGTTTGCTTGAGAAAGCATATTTAAAGTATTATAGACTGGTTCAGAAGTAAGAAGCCTGTCAAAATAAATATACTCTATAAAGGCCATGCCTGGAGCCCCCGGAATATTACTCTTACATAAATGATTCCTACTCTTTAGGGAGCAACCACTGTTATTTTCCTTCAGTTTTCTTAATTACCACACAGTGTGTGTTTGGTCCAACTGAAATTCATACTGCCAGGGCCCCTGAAAGAATTTGCATCCTTGTTGTGCAGCGTGGCTGGCACTGGAGTTGAGGGAGAGCAGCAGATGAGAGACTGCTCTCTGAAGTGACCTTCTTTTGGGGCTGCTGAGTTCGTTACTACACGTGGTCTCTATTAAATCTGATATGAATGAGTTCCTGAGAGCTCACTCAGCTGTGGGGCACCTCATCGTGAGTAGCAGCGCTGGTGAACTTGCATCATAAATTTCATTCTGATATGCACAGGATATATCAGCCTCTAAAGGCCAACTGTCGCTTTGCCTGTTAACATATCTGTGGTGGTTTTGCAACGCAGAGGCTTGCCTGGCTTGCTGCAAGGCAGTACTTTTCATGCTCGGCGATTGGTCTATTTCCAGCAAAAGAAAACGTCTGCACCAAAGAAAATGTTGTAGTAAAACAGTAGCACTGCAGTGTATCAGCATCAGAGATTTGGTGTGGAAGTAAGAGAAATTGCACCACTATAGGGCATGTGTACCCTGTGCTGAGATAGCCGTTCTAGGTGATCTGCATCTGTTAGCATGTCCACGTGTGAACATGCACATATTCTCTTAACTCCATTTGGCAGAACCATGTTAAAGCACAGTTTTTGCTAGCTAGGTGCTAGTACTTTTTGCATCTTCAGCAGAGGCTTAGATCTTGTATGCAAGGTTTTAGCCACAGCCATTAACTAAATCTGCAGTTACCGGAGCCATATAGCGGTGTAGAAATGCATATACATCTCTCCCCCAAAGAAATGCAACTGCAATCTAGAGCTAGCCATGAGATGTTTGCGCAGGACACAGGTACATTTGGGCCCATGATGAGGGGCACAGTATCTTCTAGTGAGACACAACTGAGACTAAGGAGGTATGTGAGACAGGCTCATCAGTACATCCTTTCTCACTTGTCATGTTAATTTTGCTTTGACTCAGGCTTGCTTGAGCTCCTCATGATTTATAAACGGCCTTAATTACAGTGCTGAAGAATGGAAGACAATGTGTCCTTTCTAACGGAAGCAGATGCTGCCCCATCTCACTGCCGCTAATGTGCTTTATTTTAAAAATCTATTTCTCTTCAGGTCAGCGTCGCCACCCCGAAACAAAAACCGAAAGTCCCGTTCTGCTTTGGTGAGTGTAACGCATGGGGGAGGGGGGATACCAAAATGCCCAGAGTTCACATCATGACAGGTCTCTGACGGGAGGACTGCAGGGTTAGGTGGCTGTTATAAACCATGAGAATTCATAAACAGCAATTATCCATGGGCCTTCTTTGTTCATTAGTATAAGGTGTTCCAGAAGTGTGAGATGCTGTGTGTTGCTGGGAAGAATGTTTTCAGAGAGGGTGAAATTCACACTTGTACACAGCAGTCAGCACAAAGGATTATATGCACCACTTAAGTCCCTCTGAAACCCATAGGGCTAAATGGTGCCTTGATCCTTTTGCTGGCTGCTTCTGCACAGGGGTGGATTTCGCCCAGAATCCTTTGGTTGGGAGGGGACCTCAGTTTTTCCCTGAACACCCCAGCAGCATGGATGCTCTGGGTGGTTGTCTGGCCTGAGCAACCTTGTCCTAGTGCGTCACTGCACTAATGGAGCTTTCCCCCATATTCACCCTCATGCTGCAATGCATTATGCAATGTAGTTTTCTGCATTCCTGTCATTGCAAAGAAGAGGTGGTCTGGGATTGATTTCCCTTCCCGGTGGCCCTCGGCTTTACCCAAGCCACAAAAGTTCCTCGCTTTCATTAGCACTAAGCTCACTTCAGAGTTCAAGCAGCAGGAACAACAGCACCAGCACGTACCTGTCTCAAAGGGCTGGGGTGGCGGGCAGGGCCGGCTCCAGGCACCAGCTTAACAAGCAGGTGCTTGGGGCGGCCAAGGGAGAGGGGTGGCACCTGCGGCAATTCGGGGCGGCAGGTCCCTCACTCCCTCTAGGAGCGAAGGACCTGCCGCCGAACTGCCGCCGCCGCCGCCGATCGCGGCTTTTTTTTTTTTTTCCCCCCATTTCTTCCCCCCGTCGCGGCTGGCGGCTTTTTTTTTGATGGGGGGGGCGGAAAGGCTGGGGCGGGCCCGGGGGGGGGGGGGGGGCACAATTTTCTATACTTGCATGCAGGGGACATGAATCAGCACCAAACCAGAGCAGGTAGCATATTCCCACGCCATGACTGAGCTTGCTGCTCTGCTGTGCTGTGCTACAGAATCCCATGAGCCTACGAAGGTAAAATATGGGGAGTGCTACGGTTTAACTCCTTGGTACTCCAGAGCTGGGACACCCCAGCATAGAGTGGATTGGCAGCAGTCCACATGCAGGGAACTGCAAGTGCAGATGGCTAACGTGAGGAGGCCTGGGTTTCAACAAAACCTTGTGCAGTTCAGAATGTCTCAAGGTTTTCATTGCAGAAATCCTATGAGAATGTTTGTTTCCTTTGACCCAGCTGCTGCAAGCCAGAAGGCCATACGAGCTGAGAAGTCAGGGGATGGAGAGGAGGGGCTGCGTGTCCCAAGAGAGTTTTCCAATCTCCCAAGGGACTCCTGTTGAGGAGTTGATCTGCCTTTGATCATTGCAGATGAAACTTAAAACTGTGGTTCTGACCGCTGGCGGTCATAACAGCTCCCAGGACACTTGTAAGCATGTTACTACAAGTGCCCTAGTTAAATTCTAATTCAGATCGTTTCAGTTGGATTGTGGTATTCTTCATGCCCAGTCCTGAACTGTTGTGTAGTGTGGCAACATGCAGTTAAACAACTGCCATACTCCACCCCAGAGGTGGCTGCAGCTCAGTGGTGGTTCCTTGCATATTTTCCTGTCAAGTGGTTGCAAGGCTGAAATAGGTAATGCTTGCAGGGTACTGTGGGGTTGGAAGTTGAGAGGTGCTGCTGATGTGCAAGGTATTATTATTGGATTAGTTTAAGCCGGCTGAGCACTGACTAGGGTTCCCTTCTCTCTCTTTTTTTTTTTATTCCTCTCTTTGATAGTTATCAATGCTTTATCTCAGCGTTATTTCTTACAAGCCAGCGATCAAAAGGACCTACAGGACTGGGTGGAGGCTCTGAACCGTGCCAGCAAGATTACGGTATGTTACGCTACTATCACTGCTGTCTCCACTTCCCTCTTGGGCAGTGGGGCTGTCTGAGAAATGTTTGGAAAGCCATATTTAACTTCTTGCTCTACCTCATCCCCTTTCTGCAACTTGCTCAAAGGTAATGGCTGAGTCTGGCCAGAAACCGGGCTGCTCCTGGAGCCAGCTGTGCGCTGAGTCTGAGCCGCGCTTGATGTGGAGTTAGCACTGCTAGCTCCGCAGGAAATTCCTAGTCAGATTGTTGAGTCTGTCATGTTTTAATTAATGCTGAGGTTGTGATTCACAACCACAAAACCAAGGAAGGAGTTGAAACCCTATTCTCAGCTAGCTGCTGCGCTGTCCTTCAGTCCCCTTGGGAGCTGCTCCGATCCATCCACGTGCAGCATCGTGCTGCTCTGTGGTATAAAGCAATCGCGGTACCATCAGCATTACTGTCCCAGAGCTCCTGAGTCCCCTCAGCTCCCATTGGAAGGAATGGGACTGCTGCAGCTTCCTGGAGAGTACAGAGAAGTTATTTAAACACGGCATGCTTAGCTGCTGCTTTGTAAGTTTTAATGACTTGCATGATTTTAATTTAAGAAAGAAAATACTCCAAGAAAAGGGGCTGAGCTTTTGGTTATGAACCTTCCTAAAGAGATTTTAGAGCTGGAAAAAGACACAGGGCCGGATTTCTAAGTGCTTAGCACCCACAATGTGGGCCAGAATTTCAAAAGTCCTTAGGACCGGTAGCTACCATTGAAAACTATAGTAAGTGAGCTGTTCTGAAAATCTGGCCTCAGATGAGTGACCTCTGTGGCTTCTTTTCCTTCTCCGGTAACTTAAATCTGGAGAGACTTTTATATTTATAAACAAAGATAAGATAAATGCACTTCCCGTATTCCCAGGCACAGCTGCTGCGTGTGACAATGATTAAGCCCTTGAAAAGAGAAGCTTCTCCGGGAGATAGACACACCCTTATGTGTTCTGGTGCCACTGTGTCAATGTAATTATTGAAGGCTGGGATCTGTGTGTAACTGATTTCTTGCTGCTGCTATCAAAGGGTTTCTTTCTTGTGCTAAAGTAATTTGCTTATTCAGTTTTTCTCCTTCCTGGTACAATTGGTCTCATGAGATTTGATACAGCAAACACTTTGTATTGTGAGACGCAGTATGGGAGGAAATGTGACTGGACATGCCTCTGTCTTCCCCTCTCATATACCAGTGTATTTATATAGCCATAAGTTAACAGTGGCCCAGTGACTTCTGGTTTGCCTTCTCCTTGGCTGTTTAATGCTCCTTACAATGAGAGATGCTGCCTGTCCCTGTTGTTGATGGTAATTTAAGAATAAAAGCGAACCAGAATGATAGAGCTGTCCATATACAGTATATTTAGTGTTCAGTTTGTAGAAATGGGCTGGTGGAATGTCTGTTCTGATTAAGGTTCTTGAAGCTTGACTCATCATGGGACATCCCAGAACCTAACAGATCCATTGAAGGAGTCATATGATTTTAAAAGGATGAATTGAAGAACTCTATATACCTAATGGTCACAGTGCTAGGTGGATTTTACTGCATCATATACTGATGTATATTGGCTAGTTTTTTATAAATCATGTATCAAGATGAATGATGCTGAACAAGTTAAACAGTGATCTTTAGCAAAGAACTCTCTTCTCCAAGCATCAGTTGATCATGTGGTATGCTATACATCTACAATATTGCAATATAATAAAATACACAGGATTTCATTTTCCAAAGTGCTGGGACCTGGCCTGCCTTTTGCTGGTGCGCGTTGCACTTGCCTTTTTGTATCTGCAAGTGAACTGAGGATGCAAATCTGGGTCCCTGCAGCTGCCTGATGGAGGGTGAGCTGCTTGGCTGCACCTGCTCTGATTTGCACCTTCCATTCACTTCTGGGTGCAGGTTACACTTGCAAAAACCCCAATCCAGCCCCAGAGGCATGGCAACTGCCCTGGTGGCAATTTCCTCCAAAGTGTGACTAGCCGAATATGAACTCTAGACTTGAAGGACACTGATCTGTTCCTCCTCATGCCTTACACCTTGTGTTGTCATTTGCACCTGTGGAAAGTTAATGTAAAATGCTACTGTTCTGATCTGAGCGAGCTTTACCTCCACTCTGCACTCATTCTGCAGAGGCGTCAGTGAGGATACAAGGTGCTGGGCATTGGCGAATCGGGCCCTTAGTATGCGGCTTTTAGAAATAATTGCATCTGGTTATTGCTGAAAGGAGCCTGTTTGATTTTTAAACCCCTAAACCCCAAACTATTAAACTTTGGCTGGGCCTTCTTGGATCCTCTGGCTTGTCTAGATTGGCTAGCTGGCCTGCATCACTCACTGGTCACTAGCTCAGCACATCAGACAAATCCAGCAGGGGAGTCTCCTGCCTTCTACAGGGCAGTTAGAAAGGACAGTGCCACGAAAAACATTTGCAAGACTTCTGGGTGTGAGATTTGACCCACCTGCTCCCTGTGAACTTCCTTTCTCCCGTATGCCTGTTCACACAGTCTGGCTTCTCTGTGCCATTCCTGTTACCAAGCTGCAGTGTGGCCGGGTGCTGAGTAGAAACCCATAGTCGCTGAAAGACCAAATACAGTGAAAATGGGCAAGGGAATTAATGTGCTGCCTTTCCTAATTCCAGCAAATAAATTGACCCAGACAGCGTATTGGGCTAGCGGGGCCCTTCATCTGGCATCGGAGCTGGTGGACTGAAACGCTAGCTCATCTGTTGTGCCAACAACAAACAGCATATGCCGCTCCTGCTTTCGTTTCCGGGATCAATATGGATACAAACCCATTTAGACATGAGACCAGAAAGAGATCCCAGGATTCTGGTGGTCCCAACCAGTGTGCTGTGTAGCATTTTTGTCCTGGCCCTGTGTTACATACACTCAGGGTGATGCACGTGGTTTAGCTGCCTTAAGTGGCAGAGGAATTCTGAAGTGCAGGAAACAGAATTAGTCAGAGAGGGTCAATAGTTTATTGAACATGCCAGAATAACAAGTTAAAGCACATGTCTAGATTCAGAAGTTCTAAGAAAGGCTGTTTCCATATTAAACCTCCGGTGGCACTTCAGGCCGGGGCTAGTATTTCCTTATTTCATAGTCTCTTGGAAGAGCGAGAGGTTTGTCTGTCCCAGCGAGCACCTGTTGCTAGGGTGTGGGGTGTAAAATCGCAAGCACGGTAGCGGCATCTAGAGAGAGCCGGCTTGCGAAGAGGCACCATTCAGAAGGACAGTTATTAAGTAGGACAGGCTGTTCTCCTCTTTAATTGCAGTAGGCGTCTGTTTGCCAGAAGCCGGGAATGGGTGATGGGGGATGGATCACTTGATGATTCCCTGCTCTGTTCATTCCCTCGGGGGCACCTGGCATTGGCCACTGTCGGAAGACAGGCTACTGGGCTAGAGGGACCATTGTTCTGACCCAGTGTGGCCGTTCTTATGTTATCAGACAAGTGAGGAGCCCTAGCCAGGAGGCGCCGGGCTCCCCTGTGGGCTGAAGCCTGAGATTCCAGTCCACGCTCCTCCCACTGCAAGGCCATTGTTTTTCTGCATTTGTCGTGGTCTCAGCTGACTATCCTCAAAGCTGCTTGGGCCACGGTAGCCTGGAACGGCTCAGTCACTTATGGGGAAGTTCTGAAAGGCACAACTGGGGTTTTGGGGGGAGATCCTGACTTTCAGTGGGACCTGGGCCCCTAACTGCCTTTTGCCATTGAAAATCTACCTCTTGATGTGTATTGTGCAAGTCTTGATTTGTTACTTGCCAAAATATTTCTTCAGCACTCTACATGGGCAGCACTAAGCTAAACCTCACAGCAGGGAAGGAAGGATAGTCCAGCTCCTAGGGAGGGTCCTCTTGGATTGAGAGACAGGTTCAATTCCCTGCTCTCACGCAGACTTTGTATGTGACCTTTAGCAAATCACTCGGTTTCTCTCTGCCCTGTCTGTACAGTGGAGATCATAGCACTGCCCTGCCTGGTGGGGAGGGTGAGAATACGTATATTAAAGACTCTGAGGGGCGTAGATACTGTAGTAGTTGGGGCAGTTAGCTGCAATAGATACCCTGGAGAGGTAGCTCGTTATTTTTTCCATTTTGCAGATGAAAACTGAGTCACAGGCCGATTGCTGTGAGCTGGATTCCAACGGGCACCCCCTAGCAGTAATGCATTCAGAGATTCAGACCCCTACTGTACAATCTCTTTATGTATGCATTGTGAAACCATTTCCGTTGGTTTGGCCATGTGTGCCAGCTCCTCCAGCATTGACGTGCACAGACCTCCTTGTCTGCACTCCCTTCCGTGATGCTTGAGAAGATGCAGACAGATGAAAGACGGCGTGTTGCGCAAGAGGTTCTGATCTGGCCAGTTGCTCGTCACGCCAGCGTGTTTGGCAGCCTGGTGCGCTAGGTGACAACCGCATAAAGTTCCGCTGGACCATGCTGCACAGGTGTAGGTTGCTGAGGCAAAGTGCGCAGTGCTGGGCTCCCGCGGGTGTGGGAACCATCTGGCTCGTTGCTTTCTGTCACAGCAGCTGTGCTGTTTCTGAAACAGGAAGCGATGGTGTGTTAAGATGCTCATGTTTCCTGTTCCCTACCACTGAAGGCTGGCTACTTCACTTGGTTAGCGGAGCCTGGCTTTTGAGAACTGCCTGGAGTTTACTGCTTGGGTTATTGCTCCAAAGATTAACTAGAGAAAATGCTTTCTGTTGAGCCTTTTCATGCTGCAGATAGATGTATGACCAGTGGGTTGATTAGTTCAGCACTGAATCACTTTCTGTAGGAGACAGTAGCTGTCTGTTCGGGTCCGGCCAGGAAAGTCTTGGACTACTCACTCCTCTTCTCAGTCCTTATCTACACACAAACTTGAGTCAGCTCAGTTAAACTGGTTCAGTTAGACTAGACTCTTGTGTGGAGACTCTCTCATTTCTGTCTGAGTGCTTTATTTTGGGCTAGCTTCTATCTGTTCCTAATTCTCTTAAGCTAAACCAAAATAAGCCTGCTCTCAAACAAAAGAAGAGTGTCCACACAGCCTTTTACGCTAGTTTTAAAACTAACCTGGTTTTAAATCGCTCCTTAAGTAAAAATGATGTAACCCTGTGTGTAGATAAGCCCTTACTTTCAGGAGTGCAAATTTACTTCTTTTTAAAAAAAAATTCTTTAGCACACTGGTCCAGTCTGTTTGTTAAGAGGCCAATCACTGAATGCAAACTACATGG